GTCTAAACATCTGACATTGAGTCAGACAGTATTTACAGCCCATTGCGAGTCGATTTTTAGATGACGAGATAAATTACCCACTAAAAATGTTCCATGGTTGCTGCAAACTCCCTGTAGGACTCACTAAGCTAAAACCCAAACTTTGCTTCACAGTTACGTTTTGAAACAAAAGTGTTCATCACAGCTGTGACTAAATTGAACCTAATCAGAATGTAGCACTCGGCATACTTAATTAAACAAACGTTGCACCAATTTCATCAATCCTCTTGTTTATCTTAATCCACGTGTTTCCTTGCAAAAAACGACAATAGTTGATTAAGTTTAGAGGAGAAAGAAGTGCAAAGGAAAGGAAGTGGGGAATTTCATTCGCGAGTCTGAAATTGCAAAGCTAAGGTGATTAAAGGTGCCGTCTTTGTGATGCAAATCAGATTCCTTTTGAAGATTATCCTTCGTTTGGCAAAAGACACAGAGACCGTCAGAAAAGGTCCTACCAGTGTCATTGGCAATCTGGGAAAATGGATAAGTTTCACTTCATTTCAGCAAAAAAGCTCGCCAGGTTCCCACACTCCTCATGAAATCAACAACCGCAGGCTATATGTTGTTTACCAGTCGATTGATTTGGCAATGCTACATCACTTCCTTGTCCATCAAAATATGCAAAACTGAAAATTTTTCCACAACCACCGGCCGGAGCTCAGACTTAGCGCGACGTTTCTTTTACGGTACACGTGTAGCTGTCTATCTGATCAGGGATTCCGCTAGGCAGTGATGACATTTCAGAGGCGGCGTTACTCTGAATGACCCGGGTTCTAATTTACTGACGTAATTAAGCTTCGCTCCATCTTCGAATCCCAGAGCTCGTCTGAACTGCTAATTGGCATGAATTAGCTGTGAACAGAGGGAGTGTTTCTATCCATTCCCCACTCTTTTCACTCCTTTTTTTAACATCCCCGCTCTCGTCTAACTCACATTTCAGGACCCGGAGAGGGCCCACTTGAATTGGCTTCACAGTCTAATGGTCTGCCAGGTTCCTGACATCAGCAGTGAATATTAGTACAGACTTTTTAATCAAGAGACTCTCAAGCGGCCGCCCATTGCTAAAAGTACATGTACCAAAACATCTGGCCTGCCAGCTGCGCTTGTATGCGCCGCTCATAATGAAATGTCTGATTTTCTGATCCATTAGTCCAAATCTATACACATTTAGAAGCTCATGCGTCCTGCATACTGTCTGACACGCTCTTCAAACACCAACAGGGATGCGGTTTACTCTGACATTGGCCAATCGCCTAGGTTTGGAAACACAATAATTGACTTCAAATGATGTGTAGCTGACAATAAAATATACATTTATAATAATAATAAAGAAGAAGAAGAAGAAGATCATTATGGTTAATTTTTGGAAAATTTCAGCGTTTTTTTGCTGAATTATTGAGTATATTTATTTTAGTTTTTTTTTACTTTTAATGTTAAATCTACTATTTAAATAGTGTTTACTTAAATAGAAAAAAATACTTAAATCGTATTTACTATAAAAACTCCATTGTGTCTATATACACATTTTTAAAATAAAAATATATATTAGTTACACATTAAATATTTTTATTTAGAACTGTATTTATTTTGATCATTTTTGAAAATATCTGAAATTCTTCATTTGTTTTATTTTTAGATTATTTAGATTATCATTTAAATATCTGTATTTATATATTTTGTAAAAAAATATATTAAAAAAAAAACCTAAATGAGCTTCTAAGACATATTTTGTAAATATTCTATAAAACTATACGCTAGAGTTATATTACCGTTACAAAATTAAATTAATTAATTAATATATGGGCTGTCAAATCGCGATTAACCACACCCAAAATAAAAGTTTGTTTACATAATACAGTATATGTGTGTGTACTGTGTATATTTATATGTATGTATATATAAATACACACACACACATACATGTATATATTTAAGAAATATGTATAATGTGTTTATATTTATATATAATATAAATTGTATTTAAATACATACATGCATGTAAACATTTCTTAAATATATACATGTGTTTATTTATATGTACATATAAATATACACAGTACACAAGCACATATTATGTACACACAAACTTTTATTTAGGATGCGATTAATCACGATTAATCGATTTGACAGCCCTAACTCACACACACACACACACACACACACACACACACACACACACACACACACACACACAATTATCAGATCAGGTATATATGAATAAAGCATGGAAACATAGTTACAGTTTCTATTTGGTTGCTGAAGTATTGAATACCCATGCAAAAACAAACACATTTCTCTAGAAATACATCCGTTTGTTATTCTTTTGAGAAACGAAGGCTGTTCCATGCAATACTGTCTTGAAAGAAGAAACCTCAATCACACACACACACACACACACACACACACACACACACACACACACACACACACACAATTATCAGATCAGGTATATATGAATAAAGCATGGAAACATAGTTACAGTTTCTATTTGGTTGCTGAAGTATTGAATACCCATGCAAAAACAAACACATTTCTCTAGAAATACATCCGTTTGTTATTCTTTTGAGAAACGAAGGCTGTTCCATGCAATACTGTCTTGAAAGAAGAAAGCAAACTGCATCTAACCAGCACAGGGAGAGACATGGACGTCCCAGATGCACAACAACAAGACTAGCAGTACATCAGAGCCTCTAGTCTGAGAAACAGACCCCTGACTGGCGCTTGGCTGGCAGCTTCATTGAAGAGTACAAACTAAACATCAACAGTCAAGACAAGACTCCCAACTTTTAAGCAGAATGTCAGAGAAGATCTACTGACACATAGAACAAAACAGTAGATTGAGCTAAATAACAGAAATTGGATAGCAAACAATTACTACGGATGGATAAATCCAAGTCTAAGGTCTTGATAGTCAATCCTGAAGAAAGAATAGGGCTGTTCTCACCTTATGTCCACCTGTTAGCTGCAGATCCTGTCTCTGTTTTATTTAAGCTACAAGTCCCATTTTGACAGGGAATAAGGACTTAAACTTAATAAAACGTCTCCCTCAAGAGCTGACATTCTCATATCAGACCTTATTCCTCAACCATTAGCACTTTCCAAAAACATTTTTCTTACTTGCAGAACCTTTAAAGGTGCAGTCCATGGTCAAAAGTAATTCGGCACCCTGTCCTTTATTAAAGGGCTGCCAGACCTCCCAGAACGTTTGCAAATGTCACTGCGTTAGAATCACTCTACTTTGACTAAATACCATCTGCCAGTATCAGTATGTTACCAAGTCTGGCTGTGTATAACACTACTGGTTGCTAAGCTAGCTGAGTACCAAACCAAGTCCCTTAAAGGAACAGTTCACCCAAAAAAATGAAAATTTGCTGAAAACTTACTCACCCTCAAGCCATCCAAGATGAGAGTTTGTTTCTTCATTGAAACAGATTAGGATAAATGTAGCATTACGTCACTTGCTCACCAATGGATCCTCTGCAGTGAATGGGTGCCGTCAGAATGAGAGTCCAAAACAGCTGATAAAAACATCACAATAACCCACACAACTTGTTTTGGACTGTTTTCGCTTGTAAATGGTCAGCTGATTCAGACAAGATGACATTTCACTGGAGAAAGCAATATTTGATGGACTGGAGTCATGGATAATTTGTGGATTATTGTGATGTTTTATCAGCTGTTTGGACTCTCATTCTGACTGCACCCGTTCACTGCTGAGGACTGCATATATGTTCCCTCTGCTTCTTATACTGTATTATTTACCAAACCAAGCAAAAAGTCTGCATTGAAGTATACGTAGACTTAAAAATGAAAAAGCAGAAACTTTTGAAAGTTTATTCTCAGCATAGCTAATACGTAGGTATCTAGGCTACGATTGGAAAACTGCATGTGGCTAAATAAGCAGGTTAATGATTAATTATTAAACTTCTAGATGGGGGAGAGGATGAGTAGATAATGAATACCTGGGAAAACGAGGGATGGTCCCTCAGCATCATTAAAGAAGAGGAAGACTGTGGGAAGGCCAGATGGAGAATACCAAGGGACGAAAAGAAGGTCAGATTTAAGCTAGGCTTGAAACAGTGCGCTTGCAGCTAATCAGCTTAAAAATACACTGCGGTATGTTTCAGCCGTATTAAAAAGTTAGATTGTATAAAAATGAATGAAAAAGTGTTTGACCATACCGTATGTCTCGATATGTTGCTGCTTATAATACTCTTCTTCATCTTTTGATGCCATGATTTATAGAAAATATATACTACCATTCAAAAGTTTGGGGTCAGTGAGATTTTTTGAATGAAATTAATACTTTCAGTCAGCAAGGACACATTAAATTGATCAGAAGTGAAAGTAAAGACATTTATACTGTTACAAAAGATTTATATTTAAAATAAATACTTCTGTTCTATTCATCAAAGAATCTAGAAACAAAATTATGTGAATTATGTGACACTGAAGACTGGAGTAATGGCTGCAAAAAATTCAGATTTTCCACCATAAGAATAAATTACATTTTGAAATATATTCAAATAAAAAAATGTTATTTGAAACTGTAAAACATATTTTACAATATTAGTGTTTTTTTTGTTTGTTTTGTTTTTTTATTGTATTTTAAGAGCCCAACACCAAACTTTTGAATGGTAGAGTACACAAATATAATTTTTTTAATAAAATTCCAATTACCACCTTCTGTCTTTACATTAATTGCATGCAAACAGCATTATATTTTGTGAATTATGAGCTCAACACACATTCGAAAATGTGTAGTTGTGGTGAAAAGTATGACAGTGACATTAAAAAAATGTCATAGTGAGAATTTATCATGTGGTTAGCAACTGTTTTTTGGTAGCCAGGTTAGTGAATAAGTGCAATAATTGTGCCAAAATGCTGCATGCAAAAGTGTTGGAACCCTATAGTGCCATTTATCAAAACTATAGAGAAGTAAAATGAATCATTAACTGGCTAACCTTGTAGATGCCTTGATTGCAGCCATTGTAAGTGCTTTCCATGGTGTAGCTTCGGAGGACTCCGATCTCCCTCCAAACGACCACCCGTGCTGTGGACGCCCGAGACTTTTCCACCAGATAGTTGCAGTTGTTGAAGGAGAATGCAGGAGCTATACGATCCAGAGCTTTAGCGATGGTCTGTCAATACAAACAATATATGAGCTTTGAAAAAGAACCATGTATTTCATTGTATTTGCATTTTATGCCAGTGTTTTCAGTTCTAGTTGTATGTATATTTAGACTTCTTTGCATAGATGGCAGACATCAGTCTGACAGCAGCTAGCGACGCAATATTTTCCACATTACATATTCCACAGATTTACATATGCCTTTAAACTATCCTTTAACACAATTCGTCACAGCCTGTATGTTGGGGAGAGACTTCCTTCGGCACTAAACTTCAAAAACTGGCTCAGAAATAAAAGTTTAATGGAGGATGGAAACAACCGTGCCAATCAGAAAACAATAAATCAGAAAAAAATTTATATTCATACATGTATACCGGTAATGTATATTCTCACTGTATATATAATGATACTGTAAAATAAGGACACTAAAACATATCATGCATTTTTGGCTCTTCTTGTGAGAGCAAAAATAGATTATGGGGACACAGCAGAAGCTGTGAAACAGATTTTATTGCTGTAAGGTTGCTCTTTCATAGCTCAGGAGATGTAACTGAGTTCTCAGTTGTGTGACTTTGACAAATTAACTTTGTTTCAGATGTTTCTCCTAAAATAGGAGCAACACAAATAGAAACAACTGACAATGAATGTACAGTAATAATATAAAGCTGTAAAATTAATGTGGGTAACACACTACCATTGAAAAAAAAACAGATCATCCAGGAGAAACATTTGAGATATGAAAGAGAACTAATTTGTGATTTTCTTTGTTATAAGCAGTAAGCGTACCCTGTATCCCGGGTCTTCTTTCAGGGTGGCCGTGTTAATGGGAGATCCAGATTGCCACAGGGTTTCCTTCATACTGCAGCCATACAGAAACACATTCTTCTTCCTGGAGTGACCATGGTAATCGCAAAACACCTGTGGAATGTAATAACACAGCAAGTTCTTCAAAAAATTGAAGATTTTGTTATTAAAAAACATGGCACGCGAATAATGGCCAAGGATGAGGACAGCAATGCAGTGTTAACTTTAGACTGAGCCAAACATAATTAATCTTGTGACACAACAGACAGACACGTACAACAAGGGGAATAAAATGCTAGACAATGCATTGCGTTTTGACTCTAATTCAAATTTTGTCTCTTGACAGTGTGGCTGTTAATTGGAGACAGTGCATAGCGATGAGCCTTTTTGTAAAGGCTCAACAAGAGGGTTTCTTCCTCATTCATTGCATTTTTTCCACTGTAGGTTTTGGGGAAATGACAATGTTCCTTTGACCAGGTTCGGTGCATAATTATTACTGTGATTAAACATGAATTATGGCGTAATTGATATGTAAATCTGGCTAATTGTGTCAAAGCACTCCTGCTAGCACTAATGTTCTTTGATTCTTCGCAACAGGTCATTCCTGCTTGAATACAGGACCAACAATGGTCATTTCCACACTGTTTTTTTTCCCCCACTGACTTGCATAGATAGAGCAGTGGTCCATTACTCCATTTCGTGAGAAGTGTCTTTTGAAAAATGACAGAGAGTGGATAGGGACGAGGTAAAAGATAGAAGTTATTCTTTAGTGCTCTAACAGCATCAGGAGAAGCTCAAAGGCACCAGTCCAGACTCTATGAATAGATATGACTAAAAAAAAAAAAGCTCTTAGTTCTGTTTGAAGACATGAACTAGAGGTTCATCCATGACTCCTTCTGCATGTTACAAATATGCCAGTAGGTCGCAGCAGTGATTGCCTTTATTGGCGAGACGTCAAATAATTTATTCAGCTAAATCATTCAAAACCTCCACATTATTCAGAAAAGAAACAAGTAACTGTCTTTATGAGTGTATCATTGAATAATTTACTCAACTGATTCATTCAAAATGCAGATTTGTTTCAGGGACAAAAAAAGTGACTCTTTATGAACGAGTAATTGAATCCTTTACCCAGGTGATTAATTCAAAAACACTTAATTCTGGAACAAAACAAGTGAGTATTTTAACGAACGAGTCACTAAATCATTTACACAATTGATTTGTTCAACTTTAAAATGCTGATTCATTCACAAACAAAAACTAATCCCTGCATCCCAATTTGCATACTATCCATGCCAAATAGTTTCTAGATTATTAATCTTGAATATTAGGGCAGATAGTATGTTAATTGGGATGCTGGGACTGCCTTTATGAGTGAGTGAGTAATTTATTCGTTTATTCAACCCAGTTTCATCAGGATTCATTCAAAACCTCTGATTCACTTGATCAAAACAAGAGAATGTCTTATATGTGTGAGTCATTGAATCCTTTCATCAAGTCAAGTCACCATTATTTATATAGCACTTTTTACAATGCAGATTGTGTCAGAGCAGATTTACAGTATTAAACAGGGAAATAGTGTGTGAAATAGTGTAACGTTCTCCTCTAGACAGACCAAACCAGCTGTTTAATTCTAGGCTGAACTGATTTGTTCAAATTAATTAAATTTGTTAATTTATGCCGTTCAAGGAATATAGAACTGTACCCATCCATTGTCTTATATATACTGTATAAATAAATGTATTAACTACAAAAATATGAAATCAATCACAAATTATTGGCGTTGTATTATTAAATGATTTGATATCCCTAGTTTCATTTCATCAGTCAGCTGAGGCAAATTATTAATTTAGTAAATTAAAACTTTGTAATGATTTCATTATTTTTGTAATATGGTTCATTTAATCCAGTTCACAACAGGGGTAATTTCAAATTGCAGTTGTTTTCTGATAAACAGCGAAGCACTTAGATCCTCCCAGGCCTGCTTCAGTCTGTAAGGTCTAATATCCAGATCGGTGGCTCCTAAAACACATTTATGGATTTGGTCATCCCTGACCTGCATTTGGAAGCGGAAAGCTCCGAGATCATGGAGCAATTTCCGGCGAGCCCCTCGTGGAACTTTAGGATTCAATAGGTCAGTTACAGTGCAGCGAGATTTAATGGAAACTTACCAGCGGAGTCCTGCCTATGCTGTTGAGGTAATAGAGGAAGCCTTTGGTGTGGTAAATTGTGGGGCTTAAATTAGGGTCCGGCTTCAGCCACTGTCTGTTGAGGTCCTCAGCGGTGAGAGAACAGCGATTACTGAAATAAATCAAAAGAAAAAAGAGATTACAAAGAACAGAAAGTCAACTTTAAACTAACTAAAAGTCCAATTTGGATTTCATGAGCTCTTTAACTCATTTCGAAGGGATCAAAGTAACAAACCATCTGAGTTTGCAATCTAATATCTGATTCCGCTTACCTATCTGTTTGAAGACAAGATAACCAATCTGTCTGTCTCTGTGCATGCCTGTGTATCTGTGTGAATGTTAAAAACGCCAGAATTGTGACGTTCCCATATCAGCGTCTACCTTTACAGGTTACTGAAAGGTCGGCGATGAACAGAGCTATCTAGCGTACCGCGCAACCAGTCTGTTGATTAGAGAGCGAGCAGCAGCTGAGCTTTGTCTCCTGACAAAATCCTACTGGCATTTGGAGGCAGCTTGTCAACTACAGACTCCCCCACATTCAGTTCCTGAAAGCCAATTATAAGACACAATGTTCAAACATTAGCAAATTGATAGGCTGCGTTTGAAACGGCTGAGCGCAACTGTTGAGTCTCTGATCACAGGTGCTCCATCTGATGATACTGTATATTGTGTGCTTTCTTTGGGTCATTCTTGATCTGGATTGAGCAGAAGCATGAAGCAAAACACAGTCACCACCTGAAAATAAATATACGATAAAACATCCTGGCTTTTTATCAAATGCTATGGCTGTTTTCATAGACATCGATAATGGCTTCGCGAAAACACAAAGATGGAAGTTGCAATCTTCTTTGCCTCTGAACAGTTTGTTCAACCAGACTTTTTTTTCTGAGGATATCGCCGATTGAACTAAGATGCCTTTAGGTGCATTAAAAATTAACGGAAACCACAAACAGAACTGCATGACTATAAATACAACCCACTTTTTAAAGTCTCTGAGAAAAGCTGCGGTTCTCTGCTGAAGAAGTTCGAGCAAAGAGCCACAATTTTCAGAGAGTTTCATCATAAACAAAAATGCCATATTCTAAGGGTCTGAAGACAAGGAAATTACTGTATTTGAGGCGACAAAACACGGTTGTTCTGGACAGTTTCCAATGCACCCCAGGGGGGCAGCAAAGCGGAAACGGCAAGAAAATTGTTCTTCCCTACAGCTGTCTATAGTTTAAAGTGAAACTACGTAAGGAAAATAAGAGAAAACCAGAAACACTGGATGTCAGTTAAGATGACTTGAGAGTTAGATCAACATTACCCATCTGTCTGTTTAAGCCATGTTTACACTAGGCGATTTCTGACTTGGATTTCCAACTCATTGTGTCATTATGTATTCATTGCCTGATATTTAGATTGTAAATATTTGATGAACCAAGCTGAAGCTTTTGCTATGAAAGGCATCAAAGACTTCATGTTTTTTCCTCTCTTTTTGGGGGCTCCATTTTGTTCTTGACAGAAATCATTTATGAACACTTCCCTGCTCTTGTGTCTGATGACAACTGAGAGGTGGAACAGTATTTTGTCCCCTTTTATTGGTTCTCCAAAAACTGGCAGCCCCTCTAACACGTCCTGCTTTTAAAATGTCTACTTCTCAATATTTCACCCAGTGCACCACAGTGCATGACACATTCTGCAGTAGCCCAAAGCAACCCTGGCCTCAAAGGCCAAAAATAATTCAAACAATAGTTCAGGTTTAATGTTTAAGAGAGGAAATAAAATAAATGTCATCATCAAATACCAATTAACATATGAACAGAATAGCATTTGACTCCATCAAACCTAAAAAACAGAACACTCAAATGATAATTGGGACTCTCACAATAGAACAACTAGAAAGCTCAATGGGCATTTGTCTCCACCCAACTCAAAATAATTGTCTAATGGGAAATTGCCTCCACCCAACCTCAAAAACTGAACACTCCTTGATTACTTTGACTCCACCCACTTCAAAACAGAAAGATTATTGTGACTTTGACTCCACCCACATCAAAAACAATGTGTAATTGGAATTTGACTTCTCTCAACCTCAAAAACTAACACTTAATAATTTTGACTCCACCCACTTCAAGCTCACTGAGCATTACAATCCACCCACTTTGAAAACAATATCTAATGGGAATTTGACTCCACCCAAACTCAAAATACAGAACGTCTAATGGGCATTTTACTCCAATCAACCTCAAAAACCAAACACTCATTGGTAAGTTTGACTCCACCTACCTCAAAAACAGAAAGTCTAATGGGAATTTCACTCCACCCAACCACAAAAAAACGAACACTCAATGAAAATTCTGACTCCACTAACTTCAAAACAGAATGCTAATTTAGCATTTGTCTCCATCTACCTCAAAAACAGAACACTCAATGATAATTCTGACTCCAGCCACCTCAAAATAGAATGCTAATTGGGCATTTGTCTCCACCTACCACAAAAACCAAACACTCATTGGTAATTTTGAGCCCGTCCATCTCTAAACAGAATGCTCATTGGGTATTTGACTATAAAATAAAACAGAATGTCTAATGGGCATTTGAGTCCACCTAACCACAAAAAACAGAATACAGAATGATTCTCACTCCACCTACCTCAAAAACAGAAAGTCAAATGGGAATTTCACTCAACCCAACCTCAAAAACCTAACACTCAATTGGTTTTTCACCATCCTCAAAATAGAATGCTCATTGGGCATTTGTTTCCACCCAGTTCAAAAATAGAACACTCAATGATAATTCTGACTCCACGCAACTCTAATCTGAATGCTCATTGGTATTTGACTCCACCCACCTCAAAAAACATGATGTTCAATTATCATTTGGACTCCTCGAAGTGAAAACAATCCTTGTCTACAAGGTTTAGGATTAAAATCTAAATAAAAAACAGGTCGATAACCAAGACAATGTGTGAAGTGCTGCACCCAACCTGACTCAATAACTCAAATTCTGACTCAATAATGATTTTGACTCCACCCACCTCAAAAAACTAAATACCTAATGGTAATTTGACTTCGACATTTAACTCCGCCCACCTCAAAAACAGAATCCCCAATTATCATTTAGACTTCACCTACCTTAAAAACTCAATGAATACTTGACTCAGCCTGACCTCACAAATTAAATACCCATGGGCCATTTGATTCCGCCAACATCAAAAACATCCAATCAAATGACTCCTGACTCATTGTCAAAAGCAAACACATCACGCTCCAGCATGCAAATGCTAACTGCTCTGAAAACATTTATTTCACAGCGGGCGAGAGCTAGTTAAGGCTTTAATTAAGAATACTGTTGTTCAAGTGTATACGGATTATAATACAATCATCATTTATACAGTTTATGATCCAAAAACGTATAATGAAGCCATTAACGCAAGTCACTCCCCCTTTATAATCACCCGCTGAAAAATAGAAAAGCATTTGATGCTCACTGAGACAAGAAATGACAGAACAGTGGGAGTTTTTGGAAAGAAAACTGTCTTGTACATTTGTTGACATTAACTATTTATAAGGAGATGAAATGGCTGACAATGAGAGGAATCGACGCAAGTATCACCTCAGAGAGTAAGTGCTGTCACTGTAGTGCTCTGTTGACCAGACACATCGCTTCATCCAGAGATGAGTTACAGTTCACGCTCAGTTCAGCTACAACACAGATAAATAAGAGGGGGGGGGGGGTATCAAGGCCCCATCTCTCTTTTCCAGTCATATCCGTCCTATCCCAATCTATTTTATGGGTCTTCAGTGTAACTGCTAAGCATTAAGCAGTGTGATATAGATCTTGTATAATTTGCTTATGATTGATTTGGTGACCATTAGGAAAGGGCACAAAAACGATTGCCTGTACCACCTGTTGCAACAATAATCACAGAAATCGATAAGCAATCCTGGAGTTACTTCAATTGTATTATTCTTGGTGTGCAGCACTTCTCATCTAATAAGCTGCGATGTGATATAACATGTGATATAAAAATGTGCATGTGTGTGTGTGTGAGAGAGACCAGACAACATAAACTACCAAATCTTGCTCTAAGTTTGATCGCAACATATCATCATTGCTGTTAATAGTGTTCACCGTCTGTTTGATTACACGTCATTAACTGCTTGATTTTTACTGTACATTTCTGCCATATGGACATCAACTTGAGATAGTCACCACTGATAAGCTATTACTAATATAATGTAGAAACTAAAATTTTCTGTAAAACTCTATGAACTACATAACTACAAATATATATATACAGTATATATATATATATATATATATATATAGACACATTATAAATAATATTAAGTAAAATATTAAATTAATATTAATAATAGTTACATCTATCTATCTATCTATCTATCTATCTATCTATAAAAATGAATTCTGCAAATTCACTGTAAATAAATAATGAATAAAATACCTCACTCTTTAAATCAATTAATATCATTATCATTAATATCATTAACAATTTATATAATTAAAATATAAAATATATTAATATATTAATCATAAAACATTAATCTATATATAAACTGTATAATTAATTAAAAATATTGATTTGATTTTAATTTATATATATATATAT